ATGTAAAGGGATGTAATCAGTAGTTCACACATGGGTTTTTAACTGTTGTAATCAATGAAAATTTTGCTAATGCAAGTAAGAGCTGTCTCAAGTGCACAGCACATCTAATTGTAAGGTGGATGGGCATGTACGGAGTTCTGCTGCAACATGGGGCTGTTGTTCTTGCCTTCTCTGCGTATGTATGCATCTCCCAAATCCTGTGATTTGATACAGATTTGCTGTCAGTTGGGAGCTCTGCTCAAGCCCAAGCAATATTGCCTCTGCTTGAGCTTTCATATGCCATATGCATGTGTCTGATGGAGAGGCAAGAAGGGATTTCCTAGGGATGGTGAGAGGGCTGTTGCAACCCTCAGAGGTGGCATCTGTGTTCATTTGTCTTACCACTTTATAGCAACCACAAAATTAGGGACGCTTTCTTATTTGTGGTTAACTGCTTTCACCCAGATATATCCTAGCAGGTTGATGGGAAAAGAGGAACATTAAAATCTGTGAGAGCTTCTCATTGATCCTTTTTTAATGGATATCATCAACCAAAACAACTTTGTCCTTCATCATTGCCCATGGATGTCGAGAATGTATTGACTTTGACAAGGCACAGTGGAGAGAAGACTTGTGAGTAGAAAGAGCGCACTAGATGGCAGTGTCCAGGACAGGTGGGGTGTCCAGGGCAAGAAACGGCTAATTTTTGTGACAGACAGAGGACAGTCTTCTGTCTTCCTCTCTGAGGAAAAGTTTGGGAGCACCAATTAGCTGCACTGTGCCAAGAGGCAGGATCTGTGGTCACTTGCAGATCCTGAACTTGGCACAAAAGCTTGGTGGTGCCTTGGACAAGGCAGTATTTTAAGTTCTGACATGGGATTCCATAGCTTAATTTGTCTCTCCAGCTAGAACATGTCCTCTGCTTCTGTTCTTCAGCTACTCTGAAAGAAAGCTGTATTTGCTTATGCTCAGCCCCCCTGACTCCCAGGAAGAGTAAGTAAAGTATTGGTGACTTTTGGGATAGTCTCACCCAAGGAAAGAGTTTCTCTCTCATATAGCTCTCTCCTTTCTTTGTTTGACCCTTTCTACTGTCGTGTTGCTCAGTTCTCTGGTAATCTTTGTTCAGGGACATTTGTTCAGACAAGCTGATCCTAATGGTTTCTTTGGGCCTCCACAGCCAGCAGGATGGCTGTAGCAGGAAGCAGACACGTTTTCTCAGCACACCATCAGAGCTGAGTACTTAAATAATCTCTGTCACACTGAGACACTCTGGATAACGGTCCCGTCGCTGATTTTACAACATAGGGGCGTGCTCTAGCATCACACAGCCTTTAAGGTTCTTTCCAACCCTAACCATTCTATGATCACCTAACCAACATCTGGTTGAACTTGAATAACTGCTGTTATTATACTGCAATTTGTACGTCTCCAGATGAATTTAGTTCTGTTAAAAAAAAAAAAAATATTTGCTTTTCTTAGTCTTTTCCTCAGCCTGTGAATTGGGGGTGGGGGGGGTGGATTTCTTTCCTTGGAAAGCCAGCAGTGTAGCAGCTCTGCTATTCGAAGGATGGCTTATTTTACACTCTTGACTGTATGTGCTTGAATACAGTTACACAGAGACTCAAACCGGTGCATGAGCTGCTAATGTAGAAGCGTAGATAATAATATTGCAGAGTTGTTGCACCACTCAAAGTGGCCCCAGTCCAAAGCAGGATTTGGTTATGTGCTTCAGGCGGTAAGGTTATGTGCCTGTACCAGATGGAGACTTTAAATTTTCATCAGCAGGTTTATAAACACAAAGAATATCCTTTTATCAGCCTCCAGGTCTTTTACTAATAAGCTGCAAATGCTGAACTTTAATTAGCATGGAGTGGAGGTACAGATGAAATAAGATACATTCTTACTGATGATTATCCATCATGTGAGAATAAAAACAAGACATGAGTAATGGCCTGTTTCATTTTTTGGGGGCTTTTTTGTTAGTGTTTTTTGTTTTCCTTTTGATGCATACTTGGTAGTATAAATGAGTGAAAATAGCTAAAAATAAATCGAGGCAGATTCTCTGGTGACGAAACTCCATTGCTGACAAATGGAGCGTGAATTTTCAGCTCTGCTCATCTTTGCATTGACTTCTGCAGGTATTGGGCTAAACCAACACAAGGGTGTGTGACAGCTGTGTTGTTAAGTTTGCCATGGAATCATTCCCCCACCCTTTCCTCGGTCTTGTCACACAAGTCATAGAGTCACAGAATGGTTTGGGTTGGAAGGGACCTTAAAGCTCATCTAGTTCCAACCCCCCAGGAACACCTTCCTCTAGACCAGGTTGCTCCACGCCCCATCCAGCCTGGCCTTGAACACTGCCAGGGATGGGGCAGTCACCCTGATTGGGTAAGGATAAATTGTTTACAAAACTACACTTTTCCTGCTGCTGAGAGCTAGCGAGAGAGGTCTGGGCTTTGAAGCGCCGCTGCTGTGTGCAACCAAGGAATCTCTCTTTTCCTGAGGGGTGCAAGTGTGTGAAGAGGGAAGAGGGGTTTGGTTAGTTTAATGCTGCCTTTCCTTTTAGCAGCATATTTGCTGGCCTACGTGTCGTGCTTGACTGCTGTATGTGTGCCCCACCTGAGAAGCTCTTTCTGGAAGCTGCAGGCATCCAGCTGCTGGGCTTGTGCCCCGTGGTTTGTATCAGCTCTTTAGAGGGTGTCGAGGAAGGACCTTTTTTAGGGAGGAAAAGGGTTGAGTGTATTTGCAAAGTTGGCACATAGTTTGAGAAGGTATTAGGAAATGGTAAGGAAAGTTGAGGAACAATGCAACTTTGTGGGATGTAGATTGGTTCTGGGAATTCTGCATCTAACTTTCCATGTCTTGCCTTAAGAAGGCTTTGCTGGAAAAGTATCTGCTAAGAGGGCCTACTGTTGAAAAATAATACACATAAATTTTAATCAGTAGCTGAAAGAAAACTATTCTCCCAGTAATATAATTAAGTACTTTCTGACTAATCAAACCCCAACCCCCTGAAATATAATACCAGTCACTTCTTCAGAGGATTGTGCTTCCACAGAGGATGGCTGCTTTATAGGTCCTACTGGCATAGAGTACAATAGTTTAAGTTGGAAAAGACCTTTAAGATCATCGCATCTAAATAGAAATCTATCACTGCCAAGCCCACCACTAAACCATTTTAAATACCTCCAGGGATGGTGACTCAACCACTTTCCTGGGCATCCTGTTCCGGTGCTTGATAACCTTTTCAGTGAAGATATTTTTCCTAATATTCAATCTAGGATTGCGGGAGTAAGGCAGAACAGCATTGATTGCAAAGGTCTCCCCTGACAGGATGAAACCAACAGGATTTTGATCTTCCCAGATTATGTAGGGTTGAGATTTGTAGCTGGAGGCAGCTGCTGCTCTTTCACAAAATATGGCTTTGAGCTGTGCATAAGAAATAGGAAGACAACAACACAGCACAGGGGTTTGCAATTGCTACAGGGGTCTGAGCACAAGTGCCACTTGATTGAATTATCTGAGATGCATGAGCCTTCAGTTCTAACTCAACATAGGCACCAAGGCTGAGAGATTATTGAGGCAAAATGGACCTGTTCTCTTTGATTTGCTCTGATTTGCTACTCTGATGGCATATATTGTTGTTAAAAGAAGGCCACTAGGCTTTTCTTTGTGCTGCATTGGAAATGACACATTGCAAGAGGAGGAAAAGTTCTATTTTAAATTGCAGAATCGGAGATGAAGTGAAATTGAAAAGAAAGATCAAAGATAGAAAGTAGGGGGAGGAAAAAAGAGGCAATGTACAATGTGGCTGCAGAGACATCTTAATTTCATTTTAATGAGTCTCTGGCCACTCAGGGAGGCGAGGGTCACTCTTTGTGTTACTGGAGGGGGGAAAGAACAACCTTCTGCCACCGCGCTGAGGTTTGCTTTGAATGTGGTTTCTTACCAAAGCGACGGGCTGCACTCTGCTTCCTGTTTCACAGGATTAGAAAAGAGCAAGCTGTTTTCTAACTGCTGCGTCCTGCTTATGTAACTTGCAGATGACGGGTGTGCAACCTCTGCCTGAGCCCTGGAAAATTCTCCTGTCGGTGACTCAGGTGCTTGGCACACAGGCTGTGGCGCAGCAGGCTTGGAGATGAGATTGCAGTTAGACACACTCACTGGGTACCAGAGCCCAATTCAAGGTCTCTTTATGGAGGCTCTTCCTACTAGAAGCTGTTTGTGGCTTGCTCATCATCCTGGTCATGTCATTACCAAGTGTCTGTGTGCCGATGCTATATTAATTATGTGCAAGTACAAAGCATCCCCCTTGCTTGCGTTGGAGCGGTAGAGAATCACAGGCCTGACTGTTGTCCAGAGATGTGGGTCAGCAAGGAAGGAGGAGAAGAGCTAGGCAAGAATGAGTCCTCAGCCTTTACATAAGGCTGCAGCATGTGCAGAGAACATTTGGTCATAGAATCGCGTAAAGGTTAGGGTGGAAGGGACCTTAAAAATCATTTAGTTCCAACCCCCTGGGACTTCATGGGGAAGCACAAGGTCCTCTTTTGCAGTCCCCATTCCCAAACGCCATGCAGTCTCTATAACAATGTTGGTTTGGAGGCTCTAGATGTAGCTAAAAGCTGGAGGACAGGACAGCACATGGTGCTGTAGGAGTAAAATTGAGACTATAAAAAGGGAAGGATTAGACCCTGGGGATCAAGGGAGGAAACTGAAACAGAGGGAGAACTGCTTCAGCTGCAAGCTAGACTTCCCTGTGCTTCAGATGTCATCTCCAGCAGCAGCAGATCCCAATTTCCAACTCTTCAGTCACTGCAGAGAGTCAAGGCCAAGACAACTGAGATATCCCCAGATACAGCCCATCTTGTATGAATCTATGCAGCAAGCCCCTCTGTAGTCCAGCCAGGTTTAAAACAGCACAGAGCCTGTTTGCCAGACTGCAGTGAGGAGAGACAAAAAACCCCATCTTGCCACAGGGATGACCTGGTGATTAATCAGTTTCATTGATCTTGTGCTTGCAGGAGAGAGCGATCTGTCCTCTGCAGTTCCTGCAGGCTTTGCTGCTGGAGGCCCTGAGGAAGCAAGCATGAGATGTTATCCAGAAGCAGGGTTGTGTGAACCCACTGAACCTAATGATGCTGTGCTCTCCTCCATCTGTGAACATGATAGTGCAGAAGATACCAGAATCAGGAAATCTCTTGATGGCTTTTACAAAATGTATTGTGAAAAACGGCCAGACAGAACAGATCCCACCTACGAGGCCACATCACGATGCCTGTCACGGAAGATTTCAGAGCTAGCAAGCCGGGATGGAACAAAATATGCCTCGCGTTGCCTGCAAATGGCCCAAGTGGTCTTGAACAGAGATGGGTGTAAGATCTTTCCCAACCACCCCACTACTGCTTGCTTTTCAAAGCCAGCTGAAGGAGAAGTCGTGTTGGAAGACATAAAGAGAACACCTGGACTCTCCGATGATGTCCTGCAATTCCTCTTGAAACAAACACGGACAGAACAGGGCCCTGCCGTGTCACATGAGAAGTGAGCAAGACACTGGGATGTTGCTGTCATTGGAGCTTTGCTTTTACTGTGAAAAAAGGTGATGTTCTTAGAAAGTAACTGTTCTCTTAGCACCATCTTGAACACACGTATTCCATGGAGGGTTTCATCTGGAGCAGACCTTGCCACCTTGGTCTCTGCAGGGCAGCACTGCTTAAGGAGCATCTGTGGTCCCCATGTAACTGCTTAGGATGTGTTGACTAAGTGGGCCGGGTGACGGGTAATACGGTGTGTGCTGCTGGGGCATCAAACATGATGATTTATACCTACCAAGCTTTTAAATTGACCTGCACCCCCACCCCAGCTGAACCCCAGCCCAAATTCAAGCATGGCATGGGCATGGATGTCCAAATGCTGTTGACTGTAACACACTGACTGAACAAGCTTGGAACAATATGCCTCAGAGCTAGGGAGGAAACATAAGACTTTGTTCTGTACCTGACAGATACTGTAACTCCTGTGCCTCCACCGGGTGCCTGATAGCTCTGTGTGTTTGCTTACAGATGTGCTATTCCACAGATCATGACTGCAACGCGGGTGAGCTTTTTCAACAAGAAAAAGTGTGTGTTTTTATGAGAGCGGAAATACAGCTTCTGAGAAGGTTATTTTTTTTAACAGGAAGGATAAAAAAAGAAAATAAAAAAAGCTTTATCACCGTAGTGATGTTTCTAACACTTCAAATGCTCCAGCTGAACAGATTGAGGATTTTTTTCCTGTCTTTATGAGGTGGCTTGAGAGCAACCTGAAATAGATTCATGAGTAAGGGCTCTGCAGAGATGTCTGTAGGGAAGCTGCAGAGTTGGTGCCAGCTGCCCTGGTAGCTGCCTGCTGTAAGATTCAGAATACCTAGGAAGAGCAGAGCTCACAAACCAGCAGGCCCAAGACTGTGTGTCACTTGGTTGATTCTGCAGGGGCAATGTTGCTTTCTCCACCTTTCTCCCTACACCTACCATAGAGTCTGAGCTCAGAGCTTTCACAGAGAGAAAGCCAATGCTTGTTGCTTGAGTACACTCTTATCTTTGTTGGCACTGCACAGGACCTTGTGATTACTTTCTTGGTGTGTTGATAGATGATGGAAAATGTTCTGTGAGATGTCTGAACCATCCCACCATTAGGGATCATCTGGTGTTGGTTACAGCAAAGGTTTGCTTTTTCTAAGCTCTGCTGCTGTTTATACGAAGAACTTTCTTGCTCTGGTTTTAGTTGGCAAGATGAGCACTGACTGCAGTGGGAACTGGCCCAATGCACTGGTTGCCCAGCTTGCATTTTAGTGACTGTCACTTGCCTATGACATTAAGAGCTGACCTTAAGGACTAATTCCCAGCAGTTGGTTTTGGTGGGGATTTAAAGTGATCTCTGAGTCTGATGCATTGCTATGGATTTGGCAGGCCTGATTTCCTTTGCTTTGTGCTTACAGAATCCAGGAGTGAATCCCAAGGAAAACAGCTGCACTAGGGATGCAGGACTGGGTTCCCACTGTCAAAGCTGTGGTGGGAAGGGTGCTGCTGTCACACAGGGCTGCAGTTCAGGCCCCTCTGCTCAGCATGTGGGAGCCCTTTGAAGTGGTCAGCCAGGTCCAATCCCTCTCTGGACAGGTTGTCAGTCACTAAAGCTATGCTTTACTGTCTGCAATTATAAATGTTCTGTTCTTGAATGAGGTATCAGGCTCGAAAAGAGACAGCTGGGTTGGAGAAGATAGGTACATTGTAGTCCTTACCAGGGTTGCCAGACCCACTGCTTTGATGGAGGTTTTGCTTCGTTTCACAGCTTGCAAATCAAAGAATCCTTCTGGAAAAATTCTGAATTTTGTCTTCTCCAAGCTTTTATTGTTAGATTTTCATTAATAGAATAAACCTAATTAGTTTATGGCACATTTTCATATGTTAGGTGCTTATAGAAGCAGAGCAGAGCTCAGCTAGGTAAATTAGGCTCCAAAATCCATTGATTTTTAATGATAACAAAACAAGCTTAATGTTTAGGCAAGTCTGACAGTCTTCTCGGATTTCAGGTGTTAGGAGCTGAAATATGATGGAGTTTAGAATACCTGATCATTCCTTCTGTGAAACAGCTCCATTCCTGCAGAAACACTTAGTATTAAGAAGTGTTTCATTGGAATCTTACACTTCAATCACTTTTATTAAGTTAAACAAGACCGCAGCACAGAGAATAATACTCGTCACTCCTTTTCCCACTCACTGCTAATTAAATTTTTTACAAACCTGTGCTGGAACCTGCTCTGTGTATTTCCAAGTCTGCTGAAAGCCAAACCATTTGTATTACTCATTTCCTTGATAAACATCTCTCCTCGATTCCTTCAAGACACAGGATGATGAATGCATCTCTCTCCTTTGCCAGGTGTTTCAAGCAAGGTTCACCAATTGCTTTGAACAGGTTGTTCTTGAAAGAAGCACAGTCCTATTTCGCATTTTATGATGCTACATAGAAGACATCATAATAATGCATATTACTTCTGGTGAGCAATAGCACAGGGGGGCTAACTTAGTCTTTGAATTTCTTATGCTGATTTGCAGTCATAACTAAGATGTGTTGCTTTGAATTAACTAAGTTGGATTGTTTTCCTCCTATTTTTGTGAGTTCTTTGCATTTTGTCTGTTGCTTTTGTGACTTTTCTTAACCTAAGAGAGGGGAATCTATCCATGTTATGGATGCACTAAAATACTCTTTCACAGACTACTTCGCCTCTTTCTTGCAGTGGAGTCTTGAGAAAGATGGAAGCAGCTTTGAAGGAACAATCAGCTTAAAATGTGTAGGGCTGCCAGGATCCTATGTCAAGCCAGTCCTCAGCAGTGTAGAGTGGTACGGCTGCATTAGAAAGCCAATGCACCTCCTACCACTGTAAACACAGCCACAGGTGCCTTGTCCTCTGCTGCCAGTTTGAGAGGCATGAACTTGGCCAGAGCAGTGTCCCCTACAAAAAACAGTGTCCAGCCAGTGATGGGAGACAGGAGGAGGACAGATCCCAGGAAGAATGAGAGCAGGAGGGAGGGACTTGGAATGGGGAAAACAGCCCCAGGAATGCAGATGGGTGAGTAGGTGCCTCAGGTTGAGCTTTTGGGGAGCTGCTCTCCTGGATGTTGCCCCCCACACCGGTCAGTCACCCTGTGGACAGGGGAAGGAAGCAGCCCCAATGGGGAAGAGTGCTTGCAGGCTCCATCCCTGCCAGTTTATACACAGCTTGACAGCGCTTCTGTCCTGTTTTCCTCTCCACCATCATCCCTTCACCAACCTCCAGTTCTTTTCTGTCTTTTGTGATGGTGCTAATGAGATCCCTGGAGGAGTTTTCCATTTAAAATGAAACAGATGTCTCTGAGCCCAAAGAGCCTGATGTCAGTCAGCAATAGAGCAATGAACCCACACACAACCACTTAAGCTCTCTCTCTTGGAGGCCTTCTATTGCTCACTGGCTTCTTTGCTGCTTTACTCCCTCTACCAGGAAGACATGTGCCATTCTGCATGTTTTCCACACACTGTTATGTTCACTGATGGGGTGGTTTGCTGCAGGATGTTGCTTGCAGCGAACAACACTGAGGAGGCCATTAATTCTCCAGTGTGGATGTGTTCAAGGAAGCACAGAAAGCAAGAGGAGGGTATGTGCTTTAGTTGACAGCATATGGGCAAAAAATGAAGAAGAAAGCACAGCTGGGATCTCAAAGGTCACCTTCAAGTTTCCCAGCTAATGTGGTTACTCACACCACTTGCGCCAGTTTTAGCACTTGATTTTCAGCATTTCAGTTCAGAGGTAGCTCTTACCCTGCCAGCCCAGCTGCTGAGGTTCCTCAGCTGTTCCCTTTCCACACTGGTCAGATCCAAGCATGAGTGTTTGTGTTTCACGCAGCCTGCTGCAGTTTCACATGGGGCTGCTGTTCCTGCCTTGCTGCCCCTGGCAGGTTGGCACAGCTGCTCTGCTCTGCAGGTGTTTCCAGCAAAAGCAGTGGAAATTTGGCTTTAACCAGAGCACTAAGAGGCCCTGCTGGCCCAGCTGGCTGCAAATTATGGCCAAGATCTGTGGATTTGATGCAATCTCTCTTTGCAAATAGCTTTATACTGGAACTGTCTTGCTGTCTTTGAGTTATGCAACTGATACATCTGGCTTCTTGGTGGTTCTGCTTAAGGTGTTGCTTGCTTGCTTTTATGGGGGGGGTGTTGTACACCTGCTGAAGGGCACACGGGATATTGGAGCAGCCCCCAGCTACTCAAGTTAATGGTGCTAGGGATAAAAAAGGAGCTGAGATGAGGATCCAGCATCATTCCTGTAGTAGTAAATCTGTCTGCAGGTGCTGGTCTGCCAGAATCCAGAGAAAAGCATCCTGCAGGCAAAAATTATGGAGAAAGGTAATACCAGCTGCTATAGCAATAGTTACAGCTGGAAAAAATAAACATGCTCTGGAGTGTGCTATCAATAATTACAGAAACAGTACTGGCCTTTCCCTGCCAGCTCACATTGCTTAACCAGCGTGCATCTGTCACAGCTACAAGGGCATTAATACTGATGGATGTAGGGAGGTATTGCTAAGGATGTACATGGAGGAAGGAAGGTCTTCAATGTAAATCAGATGTTGTTGCTTGTAATTTTTCACTAGTATTTGTGCTGTTCCACACAGTTATATATGAACTGCTGTGGAAAACCTTTTAACTGCCAATTTAAGGGAAATAACCTCCAAGAAAGAGTGAGCTGGAGAAGTCAGAGGGCTGCATCTGGAGCCCTTGAGTTGCTGTACTGGGTTTGGTGACTAATAGGTCTGTGCTTTGGGTTTTGATCACCTAGTCTGCTACTCAGATTTTTTTTAAAAGAAGAATCCAAACCCATACAATTTCCACAAAGAAAGCTTGGAGCAAAATGGGAGTTTCCTGTTCTTTGGGAGAGTTTTGCTGCCACTGAGGTTTGAGAGATACCTGCTGGGTTTTGATGGAAGAGAAAAGAAGCCCTAAGGGACTCTAGTCTCACCCTCAATCAGCCCTGGAGCC